TAATAAATGCCCAGGGCGATGCATTTCGCACGTCGAACAGGAACTTTTCGGCATTTATCACTCAACAGGTGACGGTCGGACGGTGAACGAGTGCGTCATTTATTGAACAATTCAATAAAACACACACAACTTTCGGACGCTAATTGTTACATGCCAGCAGCGCATCTGTGTAGTTTGTATATAGTAAGATATGGGATTTTGTCATAAATAAGTGCGTTTATATGATTTCTACCACGATTTACGTTATAGAAACTAGTAGTGTTTTTTACGATTTCCGTTCTTTTTTTGGAGTTTTCGATCGTCTTTCAAATGCCTTTCGTAGGCCCCTATTTCTGGCGTGATTATTATTTGCGCAGGCATTCATTTTGGAAATCGGGAACGACTTTACTTCTTTCTAGTTGAAGGTTAGGTTCGTCTTTCCACTGTGTATTAGGATAGAAAGGTGGAACCGTGATTCGTATAATTCACTCTGCTTCTAGTAGATTTCATAACTTTTGAGCTATTTTAGCCCATGATACATATTGCCTCATCATGACCTACATTTTCAGTTGCGGACTCTTATCATATCGTTATACCCTCTTATCATTAATCTAAATCCCTGGTATGAATATTTGTGTGAATTTTTTGATTACTTGGTTGTCTAGTTAATATCTCCTTCTCATAGTCCTTTCTTTGTTTGTAATTTTACAACATTGTATTTGTTTTGTTTTAGTTAAATCTAATCTTTTTGATTCAGCTAATGCTGACGAGAATGACATGTTTGGTTACTGTTTTATTAATCTCCATTCCTACCGTATATGCGCAATATATAACTCATTGTCATCTTCTAAGCTACAGACCATCGCTGACCGCTGTGGGATGCGCCGGGCCTCGAAATTTTTTTTTTTGGCGAGCAGGTTCCACTGCGGCAAGCGGCTTCACTATTGAACAATCCCTCGTCACGTGCGCTATCCCGCGACCTGCCCGTCTCATTCGGCGCAGCGCGTCACGGATCAAACAGCAACGCTGTGCCACGCAATCTGGTATTCATGTCTCTGTTGGATTGCCTCTTACTCAGCCTGGAGAGTGACATGGTTAGTCTTGAACTACTATAAGTTGGGTAGGCTGACACTACACGTCATGACCCGATTTCGCCTATATTGTTTTATCTGTGTCGATCGTGTTACCCTGTTGGGCATATGTGCAGCAACCATGCAGGCTGCGATGGTGAATGCGGGCGTCAAGCTCTCTGACCCTCCGCGTCAGCCTCTTCTCGCTCCATCCCTGCGACCCTTCGGTTTCTTTTGATTTCTCTCTCCCTCTCTTGCCCTTCTATCTATCGTCTGCTTTCCACTCTTTCTACACACAACACACAACCACACACACCACACACACACAGCAACACCACCACCACATCACACACCACACACACACACACTACCTCTCCTCGTCTCTTCTCTCTCTCTCCTCTCTCCTCTCTCCTTCTCTCCTTGCCCCTGCTCTTCTCTTTCTCTCTCTCTCTCCCTCTCTCTCTCTATCTCTCTCTGTGTGTCTCTCTCTCTCTATCTATCTCTCTCTGTGTCTCTTTCTCTCTCTCTCTTCGCTCTCTCTCTCCTCCTCTCTTACTATTTCGGTCGCTAGTCTCGTGCGTCACTGCATACGTGAACGTGCGCATGTGTGTGTGTGTGTGCGTGCGGCGTGCGTGCGTGCGTGCGTACGTGCGTACTGGGTTATGCTTGTGTGTGTGCGTGCGTGCGTGCGTGCGTGCGTGCGGCGGCGTGTGCGTGCCGTGCGTGCGTGCGTGCGTTCGTGCGTACGTGCGTGCGTGCGTACATACGTGTGTATGCATGTGCGTGTGTGTGTGTGTGTGTTCATGCGCGCGAGTGTCTGTCTAGTTATAAGGTAAATGAAGCTGTGGAATTATTCTTGTTGTCTATTTATGGATTTCCGCCACTTATAGTTGAATTCATTCCAACGCGCAAGAAACAAATCTATTTCGTAATTGAAGACACAATCAATTTTCGTAATTGTGTCGCGTTGCAGTCTAGACATTAATTGCGCTGTTCGAATACTGTAATACGAGTAGCACCTAGCTGCTAAAGTAATTATTGTGAGTGGCGAGACTGCTATACGTCGTACTTCGATATCCGGTGAACTTTTAGCCAAATGGTGAACTTTTAACAGGAAGGGTAGCCAGATGTTTGTCATTTAGTGCGGAAATAGTCAGCAAACAAATGTGTGCAAGATCTGTCAAGATTTTATTTAGATTTTATCAGGCTTTTCTTAGGCATTCTTTGGACTTTACTGATTCGATGTGAGGCTGGACACCCGCCATCATATACGGCAATCTATTCACCAGTGGCCATGCAACTCCTGCACCAACACACACACACGCACACACACGAGCGCGCCCACGCACGCACGCACGGACACACACACACATCAGCACACACGCACATGCACACACCGCACAACCACACACATCCGTACGCACGCACGCACGCACGCACGCACGCACGCACGCATGCACGCAAGTAGCTTTTGTATGGTAACTAACTATGGTACGCCCACAAAATAGGCAGGCTTCCCTTTGCTGTGTTTAGAAGACCACTGGTACCATACATCTGGACTTATATTGAGCTTCGTGATCCGACAATAGTCGCTTGAACGATATGCATTTCTGGAATGCCATGCGATGCATATAATCTTCCCGAGTTCTATTACCTCGTATGGAGCGTGTGTTTCATATCCGTAACACACGACGGCAAGTTATATCTATCATTGCCTCCTTCAAATTTTATTCTAATTCTAACGGCAGATGCGGCATGAAAAACGCTTAAAATGAAACGATCTAGGAAAGATTGTCTCAGAAGAAAAACGTAAACATGGTCTGAGCAAGGTCAGTGTGGCGGTAGATTCCACAAGTGACAGTAGTCAGATGTGGCTCGGATCGCATGTCTGACGAAGATGGACTGTTAACTAACGCTAACGGTACTATCTCTGACAACGGTGATTAATGTGAGAACCAATCGCGAACGGAGCGGTATTCTATTAGGCAGGCTGAATCTGTAGGGGATGACATTACTGATTAGCAAAGCTGCAGAGCTCTGCTCGTTAATTCACACGTCTTCATAATTTGAACACCGCTCGCTCGAGCCGAGCATAATGCCGCGTTAAATTGGCCAACCGGTGTATCGTTTTCTCTGCGGGCATAATTGGTCTGCGAAGGAAATCAAGGGCGGAAACGACCAGCGGCGCGTGGGCATGTGCCCACCGATCGAACGTCGGCCAACAGACATCGACGATACACCGTTGCGCAAATCGAAGCTGATTCGGAGCTGAAAGACGGCGCGTTGCTGCTGCGGAAGGTCGTGCCCACGTACACCTCGTACTAGGCACCTGTGGCAGAGCGAAGGGCTATAGTTCTAGAGCTAACCCCGTACATACATCGACGAGACCACGCAGATCTTATATTATGCCAACCTTTCACAGGTCAGCCTTTCAACTTTGCACCGGTCGTTACCGGGGACACACGTGTTAGAAGCTGCGTCAGTGAGGGTCGCGCGCACCACTGTGTCGGGATGCTTCGTAATTAGAACTCTCGTCGGAGAGTTACGATGCGACGGACAGCGACAGGGCAGTGAGTGCGTGCGCGCGTGAATGCTCGGCTGATCGACCGGGTCTCGCATCTGTAGGCTAATTAAGGCGAAGCTGGGTAATTAGGCTAACGATCCATTAGGAGCGTTCCCAACTTTAATGTCATTAATATCGTGATATAAAAGAGATATCAAGAGGGGCGGATCGATATAAAAGAGATATCAAGGGGCGGTTAGATATAAAATAGATATCAATAGGATATGAAAATCAGCGCTTCATTTGAGTCTGATCAAAGCGAGCTTGAAAGGAAGGCGTTGCTCTTCCAAGTGAAATGTTCGCTTCGTTTCGCTCGCCTTCGCTGCTTGAGCAAACGAAATGCAGAGCGGGGGCATGTTCGCTTCATTTCGCTCGCCTTCGCTGCTCGAGCAAGCGAAATACAGAGCGCGGGCATGTTCGCTTCGTTCCGCTCGCCTTCGCTGCTCGAGCAAGCGAAATACAGAGCGCGGGCATGTTCGCTTCGTTCCGCTCGCCTTCGCTGCTCGAGCAAGCGAAATGCAGAGCGGGGGCATGTTCGCTTCGCTCGCCTTCGTTGCGCAAGCAAGCAAAATACAGAGCGGGGCATGTTTGCTTCGCTTCGCTTGCCTTCGTTGCGCAAGAAAGCGAAATACAGAGCGGGGCATGTTCGCTTCGCTTCGCTT